AAAAACATCACGGTGTTTTCACATGCAGCATTTGTACCTGCCCTGAGCTGTACTCTCGCCCACTCCACTCTTTTTGTGCCACAACACAGGCTCCCTAAGTTACCCTGTCCGAGGCCCTCCTACCTCAGCTTCCTGAGTTTGCATTGTATTATCATGGCACATGCCTGGTTCATCTATTATTCTCTGCTCTTTATAGGCTACCTCTTACCAAAAGGTGTTTCCAGCAACATAGTCCAAATCTAAACTAGACTCAAGAAACTGTTTTCAAGGCTGAAGATATGGCTCAGTAGTACAGCACTTGCCTACCATGCACAATGCTCCAGGTTCCACCCTCAGTAACACGCACACAAGCACGCACGCAGAGTTCCGCAAGGGATCTGAGGGTCAGTGAGAATCTTCCACCTCAGTTTATCATCAGTCAGCCAGAGTTGCCAAGTAGCTACTAAAAACTCAGCATTAGAGTGCTTTGATGATGTTTTTATTCATATCAAAGATCAAAAATTAGAATCAAAACACTGGTAGTAAGAATGGAGCTGGGGGCTGGAGAGATGGCTCAGTGGTCTAAAGCACCACTTGAAACAAGCTTGGCAAAGCACAGGGACCGCGGTTCGATCCCCCAGCACCACATGCCAGCCAGCCCCGCCCCCTGGTGGGCTGAGCTGGCCACACACACACACAAATAAATGTAATAAATAAAAATAAATAATTAAAAAAAAAAAAGAATGGAGCTGTCTTTTCCAGCTACTAATGCTCAATCCCTGCGGTAGTGAAATATCTAAGTTCCAATGAACCATCTTTCATCAGTAACCTAAAATAATGTTTGTAATGTTAGAAGACTATCAGTATGCTTTATGGGTAATTATAAAAGTGGCTTATTTTCCCTTATTTTATTAACACAGTCACTAGACCCTCAATTTTTCTGTCTAATTTTCTCTCACAGTTTAGCTATTTCCAAGAAAAACAATCATTTGAAGCCTGGCGCTGCAGATAACATTATTACTTTGTATTGGATTCTTTTTTTTTTTTTTTTATTTTTTATTTATTTATTTGTGTGTGTGTGTGTGTGTGTGTGTGTGTGTGTGTGTGTGACCAGCTCAGCCCACCAGGGGGCGGGGCTGGCTGGCATGTGGTGCTGGGAGATTGAACCGTGGTCCCTGGGCTTTGCTAAGCTTGTTCTAAGTAGGTGCTTTAGACCACTGAGCCATCTCACCAGCCCCTGGATTCTTTTTTATCAGATGGATTTAGTAGAAACTGAACCTCAGACTATCTACCTGGTTTCCACTTCACATTGATATGGCAAAAGCCTTTAGATTTGCACCTCATGATTATCAAATAAGAAACTCACTTTCAGCAAAGAACAGCAGCGAGAATCCAGAAGAACAACGGAATTCTCCACCAAATCACACTAAACGTTGGTATCAGCACAGACGCAGATGAGTTTCACGCTTCCAAATTATTTTTATCCAAAACACCTGAGCATTACAGTGAACCACTTTTGCACACCAAAGAAATTTTAAAAAACAGAAACAAAACAATATCTGTAGTCATGGCAAGAAAAGTAAAACAGTCTCTTCTTGTGCGTAGTCCTAACAAACATTCACTGTGTGCACATTCCAGCAGAAGAGACAAAGATCTTTGTTCAAAAATGCTGAAATAAAATAGGTAAACAAATGCCATTATTGAATACACAGACGGAATGTTAACATTAAAGGAATGTTATATGCATTCACAGTTGAGGGTGAAGTAAAAAAAAAAAAAAAAAAGTTAAACAAATAAAATAATCTTTTGCCCAAATAGCAAATGCAGGAGATAGGCCTGGGCTTGAGCAGCTACCAAAAGCCATGAGTCGGAGGCTGCACACAGGCTAAGAGACTCGACAAATCTCTCTGCTTCTCTGGAAACTCCCTCCTCTGTCACCTCCACAAATCCCAAATCTGGTGTCTTCAGCACACAGCAGCCAAATGTGACTAAACTCCCCATGACTTGCATGATATCTGGCAGCAGAATGGGATGGTTAATAAAATCGATTTCTTGTTGAGGCAAGACAAGTCTGAATCTATTTCTCCTGGAGTCAGAGGTCAAAACTATTACCGTTCTGCATCTCAGTCTCCTAAAATGGATTTAACCAGACAGTTCTTGTTCCAGATCTTAAGCTTGAGATGCCATAAGTAACGACTACCTGGCCTACTGCTCCACGTTGGCACCAAGTGAGCATAAGCCCAACAGTATTATTTCACAACATAAGCATTTATGACAACTGGTAGAAGAACCCTACCAATAAGCTCAAATGATTGGTTCCAATGAATTTTTCTTCCTTAGCGGTCATGTAAGATTGGGATATGATACATATTTTGTTCCCATTGCTCTCCTATCTTTATAAATATCAAAGTTGTCTCAATATGAGAAGTCCCTAAGGGCCAAGACCTAGGGAATTTTGGAGAATGGGTACTAACACCCTGCATTTTGGTGGCATAAAATGTCCCTCGCATCCTCTTCTGAGACAATAGCTACTGCAAGGATAGTATGGTGTGCAGCGGAAGATGGTCCTCCTCAGACAACCAGCCAAACGCACAGGACATCAGCAGACGCTGTCCACAAAGGGCTGCTTTCTCATAACCTGATGACAAAACCACTTTGAGAAGTCAAGTCTATTTCTTAAACAAAAGTCCTTTCTGCTAGATTTGGCCAGTGAGTTACATGGTATATATCGCAGTATGCTGTCTACCCTGTACTGTATCGTTGAGACAAGCCTCTGCAAACTCTCTCAAGAACTTTCACCCTGCTATTTATGTGGACAGAATTATAGTAAGTGAAGCTAGAAGTTTTGTTTTTTTTAAAAAAAATACAAAATAACATCATATTAGCAGTAGTTCAAAAGGGGCCCTGGGTACTGCATGAATTCCACAGACAGTAGAGAAAAAGTTTGAAAAAACTTTTCCCTCTGGCTCTCAGCAAAAAACAAAATCCAAATATAAACAGGGAAAAATTCCCCAATCTGGAATAGAAAAGCGTACTTTTGAATTGTTTACCCTATGAAATATGAAATATCATAAATAGCAATTTTGCTACAGACTATGTAGCTCCTTAACGTTTCTTATAAGCCCGACGTTTTTCACCGAGTCGTGGAGGCTGCCAGCACACTTACAGCTGATCCAAGTTATCTTCCGGCTTACTGTTAGCTTAGCTTGAATGCAGTCTCTCCTGCTCCTCAGTACTCCTTTGTTCCTCCCCCCTGCCCGGATGTGCTACTCCCCACAATCACACAACTTCAATATTACAGCAATTACACTGCAACCTTTATTTCAGGAAACCTTCCTGTGTTTAAATGGAGGTGCATCAAGTCCTACCACTTGCTATGTAATACCTAGTTTTCATTCATTTTCTCAAAGTACATCTTATAATTTTATAACTATTTTCCAAAGGTAACAGTTTGATTAAAGCATGTCTGACATCTAAAAATCAGCCAGGAGTTACTCCACAGTATCACAGCATGTAAACACAAGCTTAATATTACCTTGATGCATTCAGAATCCATTCAATTATAAATCACGGGATGCAAGACCTGATTTGAACTTTTTCTTAAGCGTTTGCATGGGCAGACTGGTTCTCTGGACAGTTTCCTGTCTTGTCAAGTCCCTGGCAAGCTTGATCCTGGGCAGTGTCTCTGGTACTTTAACCCAGTTGTTCCCTGCTAGATATGACCATGGCCCAGGCAGGTAATCCTCAAAGGATGTGGAGAAAAATCAAAGATCCTGGCCAAAAACAGCCAGCAGACTCTACCCAGGTGCTTCCCTGAGGGAAAAAATAAAATCAAAGATACCACAGAAATCCTGGCAACATAATTCTACATAACCTACTTTTCACTGAGACAAACATATTTAAAAAAATAAAAAAAAAACTACCAGGTTTTTTTTTATTGTTTATTTTGAGTAAAACAAAACCACAAGTTGGAACCATGGAAGTAAAAATACAGACGAAATGCAAAACAGTCTCTTGTCATGATCTTTCATTTTCAAATGACATTTTATATGCAAGTTATTTCGCTCTTGCTTTTGTAAAATACAGAATCAAAAATTTGCTAATATACAAAAAGCAGTAAGAATCCTTGGTAAAGCTATACAGACATAATTATACATTTATATTTTTACCAATACAGAGGACAAAAAGAGACAATTAGAAGTTGGTACTCAACAAAAGAAAAAAGTTTTGGTCTAAACTCCTGTCCTAGTAAACTAGTGTTTTAAAATATTTTTAAAAAAACAATGACTCTTCACTTGCTAGGGCTCAGCTACCCCACCCAGTCCACTCCGTTCTTCTGAGGGCAGCTCCTACCCCCGAAAGCAAAGGTCAGCAATCTGTCCAGCACCCCAGGAATATGGGCTGTGGGGCAGAGGTGCTGCCAGCTACACTAGCCTGGAAGAGGGATGACCCCACATCTCTCTCCAAATTTAACACATATAAGTAGGAGAAGGTCACTTGGCAGGCACATCATAAATAACAGGCACGCACAACTCTTACTTCACAACTAAAATCCCTTATGGTAAGTAATAGAATCAAATGAGAATTTTAAAAAGATTTTTTAAAAATGGAAAAAAAAATTTCAAAACCAGAGTGCTACCCTAATAAGAATCTCTAATGGGAGCTGGGCATGGTGGTACACATCTGTAAGCCCAGCACTCAGGAGGCTGAGGCAGGATTGCCCAAAGTTTGAAGGCAGACCGAAATAGACCGTGAGACCCTGTCTCAAAAAACAAAAACAAAGAAAGAATCTCTCATGGACAAAGTATTGGCAAGCAAGCATCTTTCCCACAGGGTGACGCCACCACAGCAATGTGAACTGCAACCAGCAACACAAACGTGTGAGTGCAAGGGACTCGTGGAAACCAGTGACAGGAAGGAGCACTGGCCAGGGCCCAGCAGTGAGCGGGTGCTCTGGAAGAAGGCCCTGAGAGAGGAAGGACACTGGTCCCACACCGGAGGTGGGTGTCGGGGCAATCGGCTTGGCTCGAAGGGGAAGGAATATGTAACTGGCAGGATTTGAGGGGTACTGCTGCAGCCCCCCAAGCAAGTCTAATTTTTACTCCCAAGTGGATGTGTTTTCTAGGCTTCAACAAGATCTGCTCAGGAAGATTTGCTTTCCGCAGTGTAGTAACGATACAGGCAACCCAGGAGAATAGCGCCTACAATGGGCAAAATCCAGTAGGACCAGCAACTAGAAATGGGAAAAGAGCAAAGAACTTGTGAGTATTTTATAACAAAGATACACACTTTCAGAACTGACACTGTGATATATAATATGGGCAAGGAATTCTGACTTTATTTGGGGAAGTTTATTTACTTTCATCATACAATAGTTGAAAAAAACCCAAACTATTCTGTTTTATTTTGTTTTTGGTACCAGGAATTAAAATTCACAATCTTGTGCTTGCTAGCCAGGCGCTGCCAGCCCCTGTTTATTTATTTAATTTTTTTCATTTATGTATTTGTTACAGGGTCTCACTATGCAGCTCGGACTTGGGAGTGATCCTCCTGTTTTCAGCTTCCCCAGTGCTAGGATTACAGGCATGCGCTACCACGCCAAGTCTTGGTCACCAGCTCAATGTGCCCCTGGGGGCAGGGCTGGTATGGCATGCAGGACTGGGGACTGAACCCTGGTCTCTATGCTTGTCAAAGCAGGAGCTTTAGTCTGCTGAGCTATCTTGCCGGCCCTTAGCCCTTGTCTTGAGACAGGGTCTTGCTATGTAGTTCAGGCTGGCTTGAACTTGCTATGCAGCCCAGGATAGCCTCAAATTCATGGCAATCCTTCTGCCTCGACCTCTCACGTGCTGGGATTACAAGCATGTGCCACCAATCCTGGCATACCCAAGCTATTTTAGAGTGCCAATATTAAATTTTTTTTTAAAAAGGATAAAAATCAAAAAATATACACATACACACCTCTATAGGTGTTTCTACAAAGGCTTATAATGGTTCTATCTGGGTTATCAGATCATGGAGTTTACTTTTTTCTCCTTTTTTCTTTTTGGTACTGGGAATCAAACTCTGGATCTCATGCTTGCGGCAAGGCGGCAGTTGCACCACTGAGCTACATCCCCAGCCCTAAATTTTTCTTCTTTACAGCTTGACATGGAGGCACATGCCTATAATCCCAGCATCAGGAGGCTGAGGCAGGAGGAAGGTCAAAGCCTCCAGCTGAGGTTCGCATCGAGCACACTTCTCTTTGCCTAAACACGTCTAGCACGCGGTACGCTGCAGCAAGGCGGAAAGCTGCCCTGAACAAGTTCAGCCCTCAGCCAGGCAGCCTGGTTACGCAGTTAATCAAGGTGACATGTGCGATGCCGGGCAGCACATGGGCGTGCTCACACACGCTCCCCACAAGAGAAATGAACTCGGACCTTTTGAAAAGTAACAACCAAAGGCTGGAGCACCTGCACGGGAGCCTGAGAAAACACTGAAGAAAAAGTCCTCAGTGCAAAGAAACAATGGCTGGCCATCAGTCTTCATAGTAATCTTTCCTACTACTTAGCTGCCACTGAGGAGAGAAAAAAACACATTTACACTGCACTAAAGGTGATATAAATTCAGTAATAACCTCTTATGTACAATAAGACAATTTTCTTCTTGGAAATTCATCAAGGTTACTGCACTTATCTATGATCAATTTATTTTTGCTGCATGAATATACCATAATTTATTCATTTTTCTCCCATAATTTATTCATTCATTTTATTATTGGACAAATATTTTGGAAAGCTCCCAATGTTTAAATATATTGTATGATGTTGCTATGAACATTCTTATAAATATTCCTAGTATACTGGGCATACATCCCTCCCCCTCGTTTTTTGTTTGTTTTTGTTTTTTTAGAAAGGGTCTTGCTATGTATTTTAGCCTGCCTTGAATGCACTGAGTAGTCCAGGCTGGCCTGGTAGTGATCCTCTTGCCTCAGCCTCCTGATTGCCAAGATTACAGCTATGAACTCCTACATCTGGTTCTTCCTTTGCTGGTAGTACTAGAGGTAGAACCCAGAGCCTTTGCTATGCCCACAGCCCTCCCCACTTTATTTTTTGAGATGGTAGGGTTCGTAGTCTCTAAATTGCCCAGTTGGGATTGAACTTGTGATATTCCCAACTGAGGCTTTCAGACTGCTGGCATTACATAGGTATGTACATGTACACCATCATGCCTGGCTACCTTTGCCCATTCAAAATTTTTTTCCCCTTTTTTGATTTTTGTTTATTTGCTTTGCTTTTTCTGAGAAAGGGTCTTGCTATGCAGCTCACTCTGTAGCCTGGGTAGGCCTGGACCTTATGGCAATTCTGTCTCAGTCTCCCAAGTGCTGGGATTACATATGTGCACCACCACACCTGGCTAAATTTTCTTTTCTTTTTGAAACAGGGTCTTACTATGTAGTTCATGCTGGCCTGGAACTCAATATGTAGCCCAGACTGGTCTTGAATTCATGGCAATTCTCCTGCCTCAGCTTCCTGAGTGCTGGGACTACAGGCGTGCACCACCACACCTGGCCTACATTTTCTTTTAAGTCTTTGGTTCAGCTGGCATTTTAGCTATATTAAAAAAAAAAATATATATATATATATATATGAAAAATTATTTAATAGTTATTATTTGTGCTCTAACCCCATAAAAGGCTTCTTTCCTTGGCAATTTTCCTGTTTAGGAAAGGGTCTTACTATCTTGCTCAGGCTGTTCTTGAGCTCCTGGGTTCAAGCGATACTCGTGCCTCAGCCTCTGAGTAGCTGGGACAACTGGAATGTGCCACTCCAGCGGCCTGTCTACTGAGCACATCCTTAGAAGTAAACCGATTCACTTTTTTTCTTAAGTGTATTTGGTACAGGGTCTCACTATGCAGCTCCGACTCACAGCAGTCCTCCTGTTTTAAGCCTCCCCAGTGCTGGGATTACAGGCATGCGCTACCACACCGGGTCTCAGTGGCTGGCTGTGTGCCCAGGGATGGGGCACAGCATGTGGTGCCAGCAAGCAAACCCCAGTCCCATGCAGGGCTTAGGCAGTCTGCTGAGCTATCTCACCAGCCCCAACATTAGTCTTAAATTTGAGTCATCTATTTCAGACATTTATTAGATAATGTCAAATTGCTTTCCAAGCAGATCATATCCATTTACATTCCCCTAGGAGGGCTTAAGAGGCTTGAGAGTCCACTTCCTAAATTCTTATTTTCAGAATTTAAGACCTGCCAATGTAGGTGTGTACCTATACTTTTATTGTATTTGTACCTATAATCCTTTCTATTTTGCGGTACCAGGGATTGAACTCAGACCCTCGCGCTTGCCAGGCAAGCACTTATTCTACTGAGCCATCTTCCTGGCCCTATGTACCTATAATCTTAATTTGTATCTCTGTGATACAAAGTCCTTTTTTTCTACAGGCTTGTATTTGTGTTTTGTTTTTATTTTTTTGTCTTATAAAGTGCTTAGGTCTTTTTCTCATATTCTACTGGTTATCTTTTTTTTTTTTTTTTTAAACATTTATTTATTTATTGTGTGTGTGTGGCCAGCTCAGCCCACCAGGGGGCAAGGCTGGCTGGCATGTGGTGCTGGGGGATCGAACCGTGGTCCCTGTGCTTTGCCAAGCTTGTTCCATGTAGGTGCTTTAGACCACTGAGCCATCTCGCCAGCCCCTCTACTGGTTATCTTTAAAAGCTCATCTGCAGGAATTCTTTACGTATTCTCCAGAATAGTTTAATCAGTATGAAGTGTAGCAGAAATCTACTACAGGTTTGTAGCTTATATTTTCAAATTCTTTATGTAGCTTTTTCCTCAACCTAAGTCATTATTATTAAGAAAACTGAATTTACTAATAGTTTGTGGTATTTTAGATTATCTTTTACTTCAAATAAAAGACAATATTTTATGTGGGAGTCATGCTTTCTCTTTTCCTCAAATACTTTTTTTTAAATGTATTTAGTACAGGGCCTGCAGAGTCTCACTACACAGACTGGACTCGTAGTGATCCTCCTGTTTTCAGCATCCCAAGTGCTGGGATTACAGACAGTCTCACTCACCGGCTCAGCATACCCCGGGGGCAGGGCTGGCACTGCATAACGGGGATCGAACCCCAGTCCCTGCATCTGCCTAAGTAGGTGCTTTCATCTGCTGAGCTATCTGGCCGGCCCTTCCTCAAAGAAATCTTGATATTTTTGAAATCTCCAAAAGATATAACAGCTGAGTGCACTGGTATATGTCTACAATCCCAGCACTCAGGAGGCTGAGGCAGTAGGATCATTACAAGTTTGAGGCCAGCCGAGGATACAAAGTGAGTTCAAGACCAGCCTGAACTGCATAGTGAGACCCTATCTCAAAAAGACAAAAAATAAATAATAAATAAAATAACAACAAAAAAGACGTAATAGTTAATTCTTTATAATCTCCATGAATATTTTTTTCTAAGCCAAGGACTCCATAGTTATCTCAAGTAGAAACTTTTATGGGATAGTAATTTATACTTTTCTTTTTTAAAAAAATTTAATTTTTTTGGAGGGGGTACTGGGAATCAAACTCAGGACCTTGTGCTTGCCAGGCAGGTGCTGTGCCATAAGCTATAGCCTCAGTCCAAATAAACCTTTGAGAAAACCAAAACTGCTAAACATGACTAACAATTTCTTTCTTCTATAGGATGTAATAACAGCACCTACCTTACAGAGTAACTGCAGATTACATGAGATTAAGTTGTAAATGGAAGTCATAGTTGGGCTGAACTACAGACATCCAGGCCTTTACTTAACAGCAGTTATTCTTCATGTATACTGGCCTCTTACTGATGTCACAGTAAGGTTTAAAATTAATGTGAGGGCCAGCCAGATAGCTCAGTGGACTAATGCACCTGCTTAGGCAAAGAAGAATGGCTGGGGTTCAGGCATGCTGGGGTTCAATCCCCGGCATGCTGTGCTAGCCCCATCCCTGGGGCGCGCTGAGACAGCAATTGAGACTGGACATGGTGGCATGCACCTGTAATCCCAGCACTTGGGAGGCTGAAAACAGGAGATTCACTACAAGTCTAATCTATGTAGTGAGACCCTGTATTAAATACAGAAAACAAAAACAAAAACAAAAACAAAAAATTACTTAAGGCATAAACCTTTTAAGTTAATGTTGGAAACTATAAAAATTAATTTTGCTAATGTCAAAGAATTACTGAATTTGCAATGATCTGAGCCAAGAGAATTAACTATCAAAGCATACTCTTATGTTACACACATATATTTATGGAAGAATTTCTTGCCAGACATTACATACAGTATAAGGAAGTCTGAGAAAGGGATACTGACCTTCTGCATGAATTATTTTTCAAAGGATCCTGAAGAAGACACAAGTCCAAAAATAAACAAAAAGAAAAAAAGATTAACACAGCACATACAAGCCTTTTTGTAGTCAGTAAAAGAACTTCATGCATTTTGATGTTTATAAATCTAAAAGCAATGAGTGGACTGAGAATCTTATTTCTGATAATATATTGGTCCTTGCTAGTGAAACGTCACTAGTAAAAGCATAGAAATGACCTAAAGTTTTTTAAATGTAAAGAAAAAGAAAAAAAGAAATGCGAATGATACAAATTATACATAGTCACAATGACAGGCCCGGTTCTTCTGGGTTTGCCACTGGCAGTACTAAAGATCACATGCCCTGAAAATATTTTTAAAAGCCCCAAAACTCTTCTGTGTCAACTGTGAACTGCTCTAGAACATGACTGCTTTGTAGCTCATAGAGATGAACTGGCTTATTCTTTGAAATCTTAATAACATGACTGAAAACTTTATAAAGTTTATTACACAATGAAAAAGGAAAGAACAGTTAAGGAATGAAAATACCAAGATAATTCTTAAAACAAATTTTGGCCATAAAAAGCAACAGAAGCACTGATATATGTGACAGTGTGGATAAACCTTCAAAGTATGCTAAATGAAAGAGCCAGGCACAGAGGACCACGTCCTGCACAGATATATTTACATGAAACATCTGGATCAGAACAAGCAGCAGAGGCAGAAAAGTAGAGGAGCCTTTGCCTCATGCTGGGGGAGGAGAAGATGGAAAATGACACCAACGGAGTGATAAGACTACTCTAGAATTAACTGTGTCTTCAGTTAGACAGTTTTGTGAATACACTAAAATCACTGATTTGAACATTTTAAACAGGTAAATTGTATGGTATGTGAATCACAGCTTAATAAAATCTTATTTATTATTAATAAATAAATCTTTTTACTCAATTTAAGTATTGTTACATGAAATTACTACAGCCATTAATTAGCTATACATGATAAAAGGCCTGCTAAATTACTGCCAGAGGACAATAACCCATTAGCATTGGTTGCTGCTGCCCAAAATATCATTGTGGCCAACATGCAGAGGTACGCAGGGTATGAATATGGTGTATCAACTCTGCTTACCAACAATTTCCAGGAATCATACACAATGGCCCAAAAATATTTTACAGCAGACCATGAGTTTTAATTTTCTATTTCAAAACACTGCCATGCAAATGAACACAAGCCCCAAACCTGAAAGAAATTAGCCTATAGGTAAGCAAAACTTCCAATGAAAGGTTTTAGAAAAAAACTGCACTAATATACTACTACATACTTCTTTGAGACCTTGATGGTTATTGTTATCTGGGACATTTCTGCTAGCAGAGCATGGAGTTGGCTAATTAAATACATGTTGCAGGTTCATGTTCTTTGAGAAATACAGTAAAAATTACTCTTACAGATTTGGGAGGTGATAGAGGTAGTGACGGTGTTGTTGCATTACATTAATTTATAATGCTGCCCTTTTAACAAGTCACTACAGTAGCCAAGAAATAAAACTGAATTCCATCAAGTAAATGTCCAGTCTGTTGCCTCATCCATACACACACCAAAGATTCACAGAACAAAAACAGTCACTATAAAAAATTCTTAAACCTTAGAATCATATGAAAGGCTTAAATGAGAGCATCACAAAGTTATA